CCTTGAGTTCTGTCTTGAAGATTAAAAGATATAACATATCAAGAAACTCCTTTTACATTCCATGTAATTCAGTATATTTATATTCTATGTAATTCAGTATTTTTTCTTGGGAAATGGGAATGATTCACCAAGATTTTAGGTAAGGAATCTTTCAACGCAACTTATAAGCATGAGGGACTTGGATCTTTGTAATACAAAGATGTGTGCTGTCAATAAACTGTGGCCTTCCTTTTGCAATGATTCAGATTATAATATAAGGAGTCATGGTAAAATCTGCTTCAAGTCAAGCTCAACTCTCAGAGACTTTCTCTCACCCTGCTTAGATTTCTAAAATAAACTATAGGCACCGGCTCTTCAATCATATTGCAAAAGGATTCATTGCTGAAATTCTGCCTCTGTATAGTTTTGAAGCAGTACAATCTGTGGCACTAGTTAGACAAGTAAATTTTCTATACAGGTGGTCCTTGACTTACAACCACAATTGAGCCCAAAATTTCTATTGCAAGGTGAGACATTTGTTAAGCGAAGTTTGGCCCATTTTACAATCTTTCTTGACACAATGGTTAAGTGAATCACTGTAATTGTTAAGCTAGTAACATGGTTGTTAAGTGAATCTGGCTTCCCCATTGACTTTGCTTGTCAGAAGGTTGCAAAAGGTGATCACATATCCCGGGACACTGCAACCATCATAAATATGAATCAGTTGCCAAGCGTATGAATTTCGATCGTGTGACCACAGGAACGCTGCATTGGTCGTAAGTGTGAAAAATGGTCATAAGTCACTTTTTTCAGTTTTGTTGTAACTTTGAGTGATCACTAAATAAACTGTTGTAAGTTGAGGACTTCCTGTAGTTTGGTCTGTCATAGATTAAAAGATCTTATGTTTGTGTTAATCATGCCCACTTTGATTAAGTTAAAGCAATTTTATTAATTACACAGTATAAGATTTGATAAAAAGTCAAGTCTGAAGTCTTTTCTCTCAGCAAACAAATCAAAGGCCCAGGAACAGCAAAATATGCTGTGGCTCCTTATTAATTTTTATTTTTGCACAAGCTTCTTTCATGTAAATGACATTTCACACAAATTTAAGATAATAACTAATCTATTAAGCTTTAAGGCAGGGGTTTTCAAACTTGACTCTTTTTTGGCTTGTGGACTTCAACTCCCAGAATTCCTCAGCCAGCATGCCCACAAGTCATAAAAGGGCCAAGTTTGAAGACCCCTGCTTTAAGGTGTCACCTATTTGTTGGTTTAGGTTGCAAAACACCAAATGTGACCACTTTTCTGGAAACTTTTCAAAGGGACCAGAAGTAGCTCTGACTCCAAGCTAATGATAAAAGCATTGTGGTCCCCCTATCTTTGGAGGGCACAGAAAGTTATATATAAAATTCTACTCTCCTCTTAAGCATATTTTGGGAGCACCGTCGTACTACAGGTAATCCTTGACTTACAACCATTTGTTTAGTGGACGTTCAAAATTAGTGGCACTGAAAAAAGTGACTTATGACCGGCTTTCACACGTATGACCATTGCAGTATCCCCATAATTACTGTACACGACCTAAATTTGAATGCTTGGCAACTGACATGTATTTATGAGAGTTGCACTGTCCTGGGATCATGTGATCACCGTTTGTAACCTTCCCAGCTGGCTTCTAACATGGAAAGTCAATGGGGGGGGAAGTCAGATTCACTTAATGACCGCATAATTCACTTAACAAATGCAGTGATTCGCTTAGCAACTGTGGCAAGGAAGATAATAAAATGGGGCAAAACTCAGTTAATAATTGTCTTGTTTAGCAACAGAAATTTGAAAGATAAGACAGAACTGGAATATTTTGAAATCTGGGACAAATTTTACCGCTGGTATGAATCAAGGAGAACCGCTCGGATCTTAAGCTAACGATAGGATTGAAACATACATATAATTGTACATATAACTGTATATATAATTGTATTGTGTAGAAGAATGAGGTTTATATAGTGATTAAGGATGATGTATTAAGCTTTTGTATCACGAGAAACAAATTGTTAGGAATATTTACTCTGGAATGCCACGTATGTCCATTTTTGTTTTAATTGTATTATAAATAAAAAACTTTTATTAAAAAAAATTGTCTTGTTTAGCAACAGAAATTTTTGGCTCAGTTGTGGTCGTAAGTTAAGGACTACCTGTACCTGTATCATAAAAAGTAAATTGACCAGCAAGCAAGCAACCAGCCTGGAGTCATGCAGTGAATTCGTCAGTTAAATGAGAGATATTAACCAGGAGAGATGGATCTGTGGTCTTTCAAACGTGGCTGAACTATGAACCCAGCATTTACTTTGTTTGTTTACTGCATTTATAGCTCATCTTTTCCCTGGCAGCTCAAGGCAGCTGAGAGTGGGAACTCGAGTCTCAGCAAACTGCAAAGTGAGAGGAGGAGCCAACCAACCAGCTTCAAGAAAGCAGTTGGCCCACCCCTTTTCTTCTGCGGCACGCTGATTGGCACTTCTTTTTCATTCTCGTTGATATTTGAGGGAAAGGGAGAGTACGGCCAAGTCAGTTTCGTGCAGAAAAAAAAGGATGAGCGAATAGCCCTTTAAAGGGCAAGTTGCCCGGAAACGAAGGGTCACTGGCAGCAACTGGCCCAGGACCTCGGTGGTGTTTGGGAAGGAGGAAAGCACCCAGCCGTGGCATTTTGTTGCAAACTTGCACACGCTATGGCATCCTTTGTACAACGAAATCATGATCCCAATGACATCATTCTGGCACTGTTGTGGCTTACTATGTGTGTTTATTGTCAGGAACCTCGGTTTGTTTTTGGAGATCATCTGTGCCTCGCCATCTGCTGCACTGCCCTGATCTGTGAGGATGCTGATTATTATTATTATTATTATTATTATTATTTTTCCCATTTATACCCCGCCCTTCTCCCGAGGGACTCAGGGCGGCTTACAGGTAAATAAAAACAGTGCAATACAATAAATATTTCTAAAAGCCAAATTAAAATATATATTAAATAACCTGTATTAAATTTACTATTATAAAATCCCTTTAAAATCCCTATAAAATCCCCCCCTAGGCCAATCCCGCTTGATGGANCGGAAGGAGGGGAGATCCGGAATAATCCGGATCTCTGGGGGGAGTTCATTCCACAGGGTGGGAGCTCCCACAGAGAAGGCCCTCCCCCTGGGGGTCGCCAGCCGACACTGTTTGGCCGACGGCACCCTGAGGAGGCCCGCTCTGTGGGAGCGTACCGGTCGATGGGAGGCAATCTGCGGCAGAAGACGGTCTCGAAGATGGCTGGGTGGATGGATTTTGGCAAGCAGGCAGGCAGGCAGGCAAGGCTCGGATGCCCAGCACTGAGCCTCCCATGAATATCAGCGGGGTTAACGCGTTCTCTGGCCGAAATCCGCAATGAAAGAAGCGACGCTCGCCGCTGACCGACCCTGGTCCCCCCTTTTGCGCAGGCTCAGCCTGTCCCTCCCTCCGTCGTCCCCGGAGAAGCATGCCCACCGGAAGTGCAGCTGCAGCCACTAAGACAAGGTGGCTGCGCTGGAAGCTGACCTGGGGCTCCCCGCGCGCGCAAGCTGCCGGGGCGTGCTCGCCCTTCGCTGGGGGCCGTCTGGGAAGACCGCGGCCAGCAGGAGGCGGAGGAGGCGGCGGCGGCGAGCCCAGCCTTTCCGCGGAATCCTTCTGGGGGGTGACGGCCAAAAGCGAGCAGAAGGTACCGCCAAGAGGAAGGCGCAATAGTGAAAGAGCGGCGGCGTTGGTGGCGGCAACCGCGCGCCCTGGTCCGGGGAATGGAGAAGCGCGGGAGTGGCTCCTCTTCCTCCAGCCTTCCTGGCCCGCTCCCTTCTCCCCGGGGGTGGTTTTAAAGTTTCAGCATGGCCGCCCCCCGGATTAAGCGGGAGTCTCGCGAGCCAGCCGGGCTGCCGAGGGGAAGGGAAAGCCCGCGGCGCGGAGGGTGCCGGAGAAGGCGGCTACGCTGAAGCCAGCCTACCATGCCGGAATGGGGGGCGCCTGGCTTGCGCGCAGCCTGAGCTCGTCGCTGCTGTGCGGGAGGACGGCGCTGCGGTTTGGGAGCGAGGCCGAGGAAGGGAAAGCGAGGCGGGAAGAGAGCGGGGGGGGGGGGCTCTGGCTCCCCGACGCGAGGAGGTCTCCTGAGGGACATGGGTGCCAGCAAAAGGGGCTCCGGAGCGGGAGCCTGTCTTCTGGGCGGTTGAAGCCTGAAGCAGAGCCCGGCAGGGCGAGTCGGCGGCGGCCGTTGAAGAAGCAGCCTCGACCCCGCCCCCGCCATAGCTGTGCCTGAGCGTCGGGAGAGAAGGGGACTGTCGCCGGCCCTGCTAGATGGCGAACTCCAGCGAGCTGGGCAGCAGCAGCAGCAGCCCCCACCTGCCCAGCCCCGGCAGCCTCCTGGGCGCCTCTGGCCTGAAGCTGGCCTCCCTGGGCTTCATCCTTTGCCTCAGCCTTGCTGGCAACCTGCTGTTTGCTTGGCTCATCCTCAAGGACCGCCAATTGCACAGGGCCCCTTACTACTTGCTCCTGGACCTGTGCCTGGCAGATGGCTTGCGCTCCCTGGCCTGCTTCCCCTTCGTCATGCTTTCGGTGCACAGTGGGGCGGGCTTCTGGCCCCATGGGCTGCTCAGTTGCAAAGTGCTGGCTTTCCTGTCGGTGCTGTTCTGCTTCCACGCCGCCTTTCTGCTCTTCTGCGTGGGGGTGACGCGCTACATGGCCATTGCCCATCACCGCTTCTATGCCAAGCGCATGACTGGCTGGACCTGTTTGGCCGTGGTGTTCATGGTCTGGACGCTCTCCATGGCCATGGCCTTCCCCCCTGTCTTTGACGTCGGCACTTACAAGTTCATCCGTGAGGAGGAGCAGTGCATCTTTGAGCACCGTTACGTCAAGGCCAATGACACCCTGGGTTTCATGCTCATGCTTGCTACCGTCATGGTGGCCACCCATCTGGTTTACATCAAGCTCCTCTTCTTCATTCATAGCCACCGCAAAATGAAGCCGGCCCAATTGGTACCAGCCATTAGCCAGAATTGGACTTTCCATGGGCCTGGAGCTACTGGTCAGGCAGCTGCTAACTGGACAGCTGGCTTTGGCCGGGGTCCTACCCCTCCTACCTTGGTGGGCATCCGACAAAATACTACTCATAGCCAGATCAAGAGACTGCTGGTCTTAGAGGAGTTTAAAACAGAGAAGAGGATTTGCAAGATGTTTTACATGATCACCCTCCTATTCTTGCTTCTTTGGTCTCCTTACATTGTGACTTGTTATTTACGTGTCTTCATCAAAGCCAGCACAATTCCCCAGATTTATTTGACCACCTCTGTCTGGATGACCTTTGCCCAGGCAGGAGTCAACCCCATTCTTTGTTTCATTTTCAACAAGGAACTTAGAGTCTGTTTCAGATCTCACTTCTTTTGCTGCCAAAGTATCCAGAATACTCAAGGCACAATTCTGTGTGATCTGAAGAACTTGGGGATATAATTCATTTTTCCTTAAAAAAGAAAAAAAGTTAAAAATGTGTATGCTTATTCTGGCATGTGCACTTGCTAATGATTATCTAAGCAAACCTCTTGGCCTCATCAAACCAATAGGTTAAAATAGGGTATTTATATTCAGATTTGGTCTGGGGGGTGGTCTTTTATGTGTCTCTGGAGGGTAGGAAAGGGAAAAAAAACCCCCCAAACAAGACAGGTTCCATTTTTTCCTCTGCTCTGAATTTCTACAGATAATTCTGACATGGATTAAAGGCCATAATTTTTGTGTTAGTTTTTCTTCCCACTCTTCCCAATTTTGATAAAGGTTTAGCAATTTTATTCCTTATGTAAAATTTGATAAAAGGTCAAAGCAAAATTTTATAGTAAAGTTATTTTTTGATGACTTCAGAATCTTGTATTATTATATTTGTCTTTCAAGAGCAGTGGAGATGGAGAAACTGAATTGTGTCTTCTTTGTAGGGAGACTTGGGGCTAATTTTGTTTCAGTACTTAAAGGTAACTTTCAGTACTTAAAGGTAACTTCCTATCCTTGCCTGAAAATATGGATACTGTCTTATACTGATTATACTAGAATCATTAGGTCATTTCCTGCTAACCTAATGAACTTTGTGTCACCTAATCTGATGTAGAACTACTTTAAACTTTCTTGTTGTATTGTTCCTTTGATAGTGTTTCAGAAACTTATGAAAAATGGTAGTTTTAAAAGAAAAAATGTCCAACTTTTAAAACTATCAGGTTTTTAAATTATACTGACTTTCATACTTTATTGGCTTTATAAGTTCTTATCTACAAACTGGATAACACTTGTGTATTTCAACTGTTTTAATAAAACACTCTCCAGTTTTTTGTACATACATGAATTTAAATGTTTGGGTATGCTTTGCTGTCTTCTCTTTAAATAAGCAGAATTTGCTTAACAGACCATTCAAACAAGAGTGTTTTGTTTTTAAATCACCCTTGAGCCCATAGGATAATCACTTATTTTAGAAAGTTAAGCAGGATTGGACCTAGTTGGGACTTGGGAAATGTCTAGAAAAGCTCAGGGTGTTGTCCACAGTATGGATGAAGGCAATGGCGGACTACTTCCTTATACTTGTCCAGGAAGTTAATGAACCAACTAGACTTGAGAGACTTTAATTTTTTCTTCCATCTATGCCGGTATGCTCCCATAGGATTGTTATTGGTTTCACAAAATACCGACTTTGAAACATTTATGTATTTAATTTATATAGCCACCCATCTCATAAATGTAACCACAATCTAATAACATCCAAAAACAAAGTACACAAACCAGAAAATCCAATCCAAGAAAAACAGAAGGCAGGCATCAAGCTTCAGCCTTATCTAGAAGAGTTGATTTTAAATGCTTTTGGAAAGCAGCTAGAGTCAGGGTTAGTTTAACATAAAGAACAGCCCTTTTGTGTCTCGGTTGCCCACACCTCCTCAGAGAGGAGAACCACGCACTTCTTGCTTTTCCTGGCAAGTTCAAATCAGTGTAAGCGATTCTCATGTAGCCCTGTATGCCAAACCATAAAGAACATTATAGGTTAACACTAGCACTTTAAGTTGCACAAGAAGCTAACATGGATTCTGCAGCATGGATCTAATAAGTTTTGACTGCTGAATGCCTGATAATACATGGGTCACTGCATTTTGGATAAAATGCAATGACCTCTAAAGGCAGCCCCATGTAGAATACATTATAGTAGTCTAATTGAGTAGTGACAAGGTGACCTAATAAAGAAGTTGTGTTTATTTCTGACTACGTATAAATAAAATTGTGGGGTTTTTTAGATTATAAAGGGAACATTCTGCTAATGATATATTAGGGGCATAAGTAGAATGACTACCTTCCCCCTGACATACATATCTGCCCAATGTAGTTTCTATTTAAAAATAGCTGCTCATGTGCTAGTGCCAGAGGAGTCTCTAGACAATTCTGGATTGCAAATTTTAGTAGACAAAGCAATTCCTGCGCATAATTGCTTATCTGTTTACGTGTTTGCACAGTTACCAGTGTATTTTAAATTTCCAATGCCCTAGCATTTTTAAAGATGCAGATTATGAATTTTTAAAGCTTTAAAAATAACCTTTATTTACTGCCCCAATTTACTTTTAGAAAATAAACTAAGAGCCTCTTTTTAAAGTCTGTTTTTAATAGCAAAGCAGCCAAAGTAAATGGTCCAAAACTGAATGATGAAAATAAATCATACCTCTTCCAGATCTTTCAAAAATGGAAATGTTGCAATGTTTGGTAATATAGAACTGAAGCCATAGTAAGAAGTCTTTTAAAGAAATAAGATATATACAATCTGTTTACGGTATTTAAACCTAAAGTGAGATCTTATTTCTCTTAAATTCCTGAATTGTCTTCCTTTTTAGAAAAAGCTATTCTTACCCCTTTGATTCAAGTGAACTTTGCACTGAAGTTGATGATAATGTGCTATCAAGTCATTTCACGTCTTAGCACCCACACTGATTTTCTCCAGGGAATTCTGCTTTAATCCGGTGCTTTAGATCTTTCCAACAGGGCACCCATTGTCACTGTAACTGAATTTATTTATTGATTTGATTTAGATAAATGCTATCTCACGTAATTTTGGGCAGCTTATAAAATTAAAACACAATACCAAAAAAAAGGTAAAAATAACCATAAAAGGTTAAGCACAGTCAATTTAGGAACAGTACAACCATTTATAAGGCTACCACTATCTGATCCCCTGACCAGATAGCGAGGACAAGACAGGTCTTCAGGCCTTTCAGAACACCATCCTAATCTTGGGGAAAATGGTAGGTATAGTAGCAGAAAAGCCCTCTTCCTGGATCCAATCAGATGATACTCTCTAATGTTAGGCACCTGCAACATGCCCCTTCAGCCAGAGCCAATGGGACTGCTAGGTGAAATTAGGGAGAAGTGGCCCCTAAAAAAAAAAAAAAAAACCCTTACCACTCAGTTTATGCTAGATTGCAATGTACAAACTCAACCCACACATGCTTTTGATAATTCAACAAAATGAGTTCATTACAAAAAAAGAGATAGATACTGTAATTTCAGATCCACTCATGGCACAAAACAAATGTTGATGTTTTAATGTTTCCTAATCTTAATTTTTGTAATTTGTAATCACCCCAAAAGCAGGCCAAAAATTTATATAAACATACTGTAATTAGTTATTGTCCAAATTTTACTACACTATGGGGAGGCAACCTAGACATCAGGATGTTGATAGGGCTAGCATAATCCACAAATGACATAAACCATTTTAGAGGCACTCATTGTAAACTGGAAAATTAAAATCAGTTAAAACTCACTAGGTTTTTACCAAAATTTCTAGTAGTTAAATATAATTCAAAAAACATATTTTATAAAACTGGGGCAAAGCAATATTAATTCATAAAATAAGGTTTAAAAAGACTAAGGCAAGTGACGTATAGCTTGTTAGACTAAAATGCAGCTGGCTAGTTTCTGCTACAATATGAATCTGGTTTGTATTTTATCTGATGTGCAAACCCAGATACTTGGCTTAATTCAGGTTTAATAATGTTAATGTGCAAATGCAGCCAATTTGTAAGAGAGAAAAGAAACTTAAGAGAGGCATCACTTCCAAATACTGTACATTTAATACGTTTTTATATACTTTTCTATTTTCAATTTCACATTTTTGAAATTACAAAACAACAACCCTGCACAACTTGTTTGCTGATAACAAAACCTGGATGAATGGTATTTATTTAATTCAGTTTAGGGAGAACCCTATTCCAAAGTACTCTACGCAAAATTTAGAAAGATGGCATCATAATTTGATCAGTGGACACCTGACAGATGAGAACTGCTGGGTCACGTTTAATGACTTACCTTAATTAATAATGATGTTTTTTTTCTCAATTTAATATTTTTCAAGAAGAATATCTTGCATGGGATGAGACAGGCAGATTATATGATGAACCTGAAGAAGGTAGGCATAGGGGAATCTGCAGAATATAAGAGACATAAGGAATAAAAGAAGAGAGAGCCCAGAGTCTAAGGAAGGTGGACACCAAACTGGCAGGAATAGCCAACACTCCAGAAGACAGGCTTAGGATACAGGAGGATCTGGACAGACTTGAACACTGGGCGCTATCTAACAAAATGAAATTCAATGGTGAAAAAAGTAAGGTTCTACATTTAGGCAAGAAAAACCAAATGTACAGGTATAGTATAGGGGGTACCTTGCTCAACAGTAGTAACTGTGAGAGGGACCTCGGAGTCCTAGTGGACAATCACTTAAATATGAGCCAGCAGTGTGCTGCAGCTGCCAAAAAAGCCAACACAGTGCTGGGCTGCATTAACAGAGGGATAGAATCAAGATCACGTGAAGTATTAATACCACTTTACAATGCCTTGGTAAGGCCACACTTGGAATACTGCATCCAGTTTT